TTGAACCAAGGGTGATCGTTCACTTGGGAACACAGCAAATTCGCCGTGGTGAATCCCAAACTGGATGGAGATACTTGGTAATTGATGATTCTCCGCATTGACAGATAATGTTTATTTGATTAAGGGGAGCAACTCCAACAAAAATATAATAAAAATATAGAAAGAAAAGCATAAAATAAAATACGTCAATTATTTCTAAACCAGCTACGAGTAGTTTTGACGTTTCAAGTTTTGTTTTCGCCGGGCGAACTTTCCAAATGGATTATTTACTCGGACTTGCAACGAGAGAGTTTCTATTTACTCGACCAACTGGGTCAAGTGTAAAATCATAAATTATTTTTATTTCTTCCACCTTTCTTTTTTAAACGGTATATTTTAGAATCCCCCATTCTCATAATAAACCATCGTCATAAATCAATTAAACCCTCCCTGTTCCCACTTCCACCTCTTAAATCTAATTACACGACAATAATCGAGTTTGCGACAATCGCCTCTTCGAGAACGTCTCTTGAAAGCCTCGTTTCCTTCGAGATCCGACGCTGTAGCAACGCGATGGTAATTTTTCCAAGAGCAATTTCCTTTTACGAGAAGCGGCCTTTTAAGCGACCACAAATTGACGCTTTCAAATTAAATAGAAGTGATTCTTTTTTTTTTGAGGTTTAAAAATGATTAAAAAAGATGAGGTCCCACCGAGATTTGAACTCGGATCGCTGGATTCAGAGTCCAGAGTGCTAACCATTACACCATGGGACCTGTTACTTCAGGTTTCAGGAAGTTCGTTAGAGGAAGGTTTCAAATATGCTGAAAAATCGATACAGTTGATATAACGGACCTTGTTGGAACAAAACATTATCTATCAGAGATAGAATCTAAATCAGGTTATTTTATTTTCTAAGTTGCTTTATTCCATCTTCACAGATAAAGTCCCTCCTCCTCGTTATAACCAAAAGAACAGAATAACCAGAAATGACACTAACATCGATTCGTTTGATGTTGGAGGCACCTCGTTTTGTGACCTCGATTTAAAACCCGCCATCTTATTGAGGGTCATCAAAGGCACGTATTGGAATGAAAATGTTATTCCACCAATAGTAGCAAAGTTTGGTGACCCTCCATAACATGACGTCAGTTTTAGCGAGATACCACCAGTGTCACTTCTGGATATTTTTAAAACTCTTTGAATGTACTGTTATAAAGATTATCAGAAGATTTTTGAAAGATGTCCAAAAAATTCCTAGTGATTTTTATAATCGTCAAAAAGTGCCTAAACGCTTTCTGGGCAATTATAAACGTTGCCGGATATTTTTGAAGATATACAAAAGTGTCCAGAAACTTTCTGGTCCGAGATTTTATCCGTTCTTCCTATTGGTTCCCTTTGGAAAGGGATAGACGTTCCGCCAAGATCTCACCTGGCATCTTCAATGTGTTGTAAAAAGACGACAGGAGACTACGACATCAATTCAGAAATTTTTTTTAGTTATAAAGCTGTTCTTTTTTTAATATTAATGGATAGAAAATTAAAAAACCTTTAAAATGAATCCAAACTCGACTTATTTATCTCCAACCGTTATCGAGATATATTAATTTTTAACAAAAAAAAAATGGCGGTTATTTGAGTTTCTAACCTAACTTTTTTATTTTGTAACCCAAATATGTCATGTTTGGAATCAAATAAAAGAATTTTTGATTCTTATTAAGATTATTCCAATATTTATTTAAGAATCGTTATATTTAATTTTGACATTTGACATATATATATTTGACATATATATCATGTTTGGTATCAAATGAAAGGATTTTTAATTCTTATTAAGATCGTTTAAATATATCTTACAAAATCATTATATTTAATTTTGACATATGACAGGAAACTAGAACAACGCACTGAAGCTGCCAAAAAAAAAATTTAGTTATAAAGCTGTTCTTTTTTTAATATTAATAGATAGAAAATTAAAAAGCCTTTAAAATGAACCCAAACTCGACTTATTTATCTCCAACCGTTATTGAGTTATCTTAATTTTTAGCAAAAAAAAATGGCGATTTTGACGTTTGACAGTTTCTAACCTAACTTTTCTATTTTTTAACCCAAATATATCATGTTTAGCATCAAATGAAAGCATTTTTGATTCTTATTAAGATAATTTCAATGTTAATCAAAAAATCGTTATATTTAATTTTGACATTTGACAGCTTTTAACCTAACTTTCTTATTTTTTAACTCAAATATATCGTGTTTAGTGTCAAATTAAAGCATTTTCGATTCTTATTAAGATCATTTTCATATTTATCAAAAATCGTTATATTTAATGTTGACATTTGACAGTTTATAACCTAACTTTTTTATTTTTTAAATCAAATATATCATGTTTGGTATCAAATTAAAGCATTTTTCATGCTTATTAAGATCATTTCAATATTTACCAAAAAAGCGTTATATTTAATTTTGACATTTGACAGTTTTTAACATAACTTTTTTATTTTTTATAGCAAATATCTTATTTGGTATCAAATGACAGCATTTTTGAATTTATTAACAATAAGATCATTTCAATATTTATTAAAAAGTCGTTATATTTCAATGTTTATCAAAAAATCGTTATATTTAATTTTGACATTTGACAGCTTTTAACATAACTTTCTTATTTTTTAACCCAAATATATCGTGTTTGGTGTCAAATTAAAGCATTTTCGATTCTTATTAATATCATTTCCATATTTATTAAAAATCGTCATATTTAATTTTGACATTTGACAGTTTCTAACCTAACTTTCTTATTTTTTGACGTAAACATATCGTGTTTGGTATCAAATGAAAACATTTTTGATTCTTATTAGGATCATTTCAATATTTATCAAAAAATCGTTACATTTAATTTTGACATTTGACAGTTTATAACCTAATTTTTTAACCAAAATATATCATGTTTGGTATCAAATGAAAGCATTTTTAATTCTTATTAAGATTGTTTCAATATTTATTAAAAAATCATTGTTTAATTTTGACATTTGACAACAAACTACAACAACGCACTGAAGATGCCAGGTCCTTTTAAAAGGATCAACTCAAAAAAATTTTTTAGTTATAAATAGAGCTCGGATTTTTATGCAGTCAAGTTATAGAAAATATGCGCATAAATATGCAAGCTTTTTATACGAAATATGCAATCTATTTCTATCACATTTTTGTATATGTTTTGCAATTTTCACATGTTGTTCTATTTGGGATTCCTCTCACACGTTATCTTAAAAAAGAATAATTAAAAATGTTTGCTATAGATACTCTAACAGATTCGTACCTATTTAAAAAAAAAATTTTTTTAGTTATAAAGCTGTTCTTTTTTAACATTAATGGATAGAAAATTAAAAAACCTTTAAAATGAACCCAAACTCGACTTATTTATCTCCAACCGTTATTGAGATATCTTAATTTTTAGCAAAAACAAAATGGCGATTATTTGACGTTTGAATTTCTAACCTAACTTTTTTATTTTTTAACCCAAATATGTCATGTTTGGTATCAAATTAAAGCATTTTTGATTCTTATTAGGGTCATTTCAATATTTATCAAAAAGTCGTTATATTTAATTTTGACATTTGACAGTTTCTAACCCAACTTTTTTATTTTTGAACCCAAATATGTCATGTTTGGTATCAAATAAAAGCATTTTTGATTCTTATTAAAATCATTTCCATATTTATCAAAAATCGTTATATTTAATTTTGACATTTGACAGTTTTTAACCTAACTTTCTTAATTTTTAACTCAAATATATCATGTTTGGCATGAAATGAACATTTTTTATTCATATTAGGATAATTTCAATGTTTATCAAAAAATCATTATATTTAATTTTGACATTTGACAGCTTCTAACCTAACTTTTTTATTTTTTAACCAAAATATATCATGTTTGGCATCAAATGAAAGCATTTTTGATTCTTATTAGGTTCATTTCAATATTTATCAAAAAATCGTTATATTTAATTTTGACATTTGACAGCTTCTAACCTAACTTTTTTATTTTTTAACCCAAATATATCATGTTTGGCATCAAATGAAAGCATTTTTGATTGTTATTAAGATCATTTTAATATTTATCTATTTAATTTTGACATTTCACAATTTCTAACCTATCTTTTTTATTTTTTAACCCAAATATGTCATGTTTGGTATCAAATGAAAGCATTTTTCGTTCTTATTAAGATCATTCCAATATTTATAAAAAAATTGTTATATTTCATTGAGTACCAAATAAAACTAGAACTACCACTAGACCTAGAAGTAGAAAGTATTTAGTTCAATAAAAATATAGAACAGCTTAACGTTATCTAGTGCTACTTAGTGTTATCTAGTACTGTCAAGCAACTGACAACCGAATATTTTTAGTTCTAGGTCTAGTTTTCTGTCATCCTGTCATTAGAACTAATTTTAATTATTATTTAGTATTAAATTATTATATATTTTTCATTAAACAACACTCCCTTCCCCCTATTAATCCTTTATATCAAAATTTTACTGTATTAATATTATTTGGGGGGAAGTTTTAAAGGGGTGGAGAGTTATGAAGCTGTGAGTGAGGAGATAAGCGGGAAATTTCGGAAAGCTGGACAAAGCCTTGATGTCAAAGGTCCACATCTAAAGGGATTTACCGAGTTCGTTTCAGAATTAGGATTGCAGCGAACACATTTCACCCTCTCGATTTGTCTCCTTTTTTTTCACGTTTATTTGTGCCCCCTTTAACCCTCGGGGTACATTTTACGTCGTAGTAAATTTGCATTCTGCGACGACAACAATGGGGGTGGGTCTCAGTTTGAGTTATAGCATAATTTGTGTAAACGCTTAAGAAGTGTCAAAGGCAGGTATCTAATTTTGGGGGTTGTTTTTTTTTATAAGTTAAAATTTAAATTTTCTTATCACGTTTTCTTTTAAAGAGTTCGAGTAGATTTAATTCAGCTTGCTCAGCTTGGAATATTAATTTTTGGAAAATTTATTCTTTGCAGACGGTGCATCGAACGGCTCGAGCACCCCTTTCGTCACCCCATCCACCCTTCTATTGTCGGGTAGGGGGAGAGTGAAGTTCCAGGCGACTTCTTTTACATTCGGGGGACCCCCTTCACACTTGAGTGGCTACTTATCTCCCGAATATAAACCAGGAAAACCATGCAGCGATACCGAAATCGAAAAGGTAACTCATTTTTTACATTAACCCATAAAATCCTTCTTTGTTTAGCAACTCCAAACAAAAAAAAAATACAATTGTAATTGTAAACCGTTCGGTTTGTTATTCTTTTTTTTGTATTGAACGAAATCGACGAAGCGTGATTTTTTTCGCATTGTAACCGTTTTTGTGCTCACGTTTAGTTTCGGTCACGCAGTTGGTTTAAACGTTTGTTAACTTCCAGTTAGGAATTTTTGCCATTAACATGTTTATTCGTAACAAGTACTATTTATTTATTGAATTTGTTGAAATTAAGTTTATTTAAATTGTTTTTTTTTTAGATGTGGATCTTTGCGTTGGGCGAAACGCTGAAGAGGGCCACCCTCACGAGTCACTCTGCCACATCGAGGCTGAGTGGCGAACTATGTCGCGTCCTAACGGACATGACCAAGCCCGAGGCCACATCCAGAGCTTCCCTTATGCATCTCCTCGACGTGAGTACACCTCAATCTAAACTTTAACTTTAGAAAGAAAAACTAACACCGTCAAAAGAAATCACAATAAAATTAATCGGTTCAAATAAAATGTTTTGAGAGGATTAAAGCAAATTAGCCTCGTTTTAAAAAGTTTTAAAAGTATCTTGTTAAAATTGTGTTTAACAAAGTGAAAATCTTTTTTTTTTTGGCCTCACACAATCAGTTGTACAACTTCTTTTCATTGTTGCTGCCGCCTTCATGTTATATACCGAGCGCGGTTGCAAAGTCCTTTGTTCGGATCAATCAGAGACTTGTAACGTCAGCGGTGTTTGCACGATCGACACCGCGATGGTTTCTGTTGTCAAAACCCACAACAATCCGGGAAATTTAAAGCATTTCCATGGAAATTTACTTATACTACTTTATAATTAACTCACGACTTTAATTTGATAACCTCTATCCGTATAAATTTATTATGAATTCGAATTAATCACATCTGTTGACTCAGCAAGTTGATAAAATGAGTTGACTACCTCTGTACATACAGGGTGGTTCAAATTCGATGTCCGAATAGGCTATCTCTGAAACTATAAGAGTTAGAAAGAAAGTAGCTTACATGTCATGATCTCGTTTTTCCAGAAACTGCTAATGCCAAAAACCTCAAAGCGCTATCGTCTTTTGTTTTTCCCCTAGAGGCCAAAATTGAAAATATCCGTAAAACCAGCAGGTGCAATTATCTTGGCTATTATTATAGGTGGAGTATTATAACTACAACATTATATGGACACTTTTTTACAGAGAATCTAATAACGAAGTCAAAAAAATTTTTTCGGTTTTAGATTTTGAGATATAATGACAATTTTCATTTTTTTAAATGGAAACAAAAACAACCACTGATTATTCGCTTATTAAATTCGTTATTTTGAAATGTGCAAAAATATGTGGAAATATGCAAAATATACCTTTCTTATACCTTTTATCAATCTATTTCTATCACATTTTTGTATATGTTTTGCAATTTTCACATGTTGTTCTATTTGGGATTCCTTTCATACCTTATCTTAAAAAAGAATAATTAAAAATGTTTGCTATAGATACTCTAACAGATTAAAAATTTAAATCGACAATGAAAAAAAAAAATTTTTTAGTTATAAAGCTGTTCTTTTTTAACATTAATGGATAGAAAATTAAAAAACCTTTAAAATGAACCCAAACTCGATTTATTTATCTCCAACCGTTATTGAGATATCTTAATTTTTAGCAAAAACAAAATGGCGATTACTTGACGTTTGACAATTTCTAACCTAACTTTTTTATTTTTTAACCCAAATATATCATGTTAGGTATCAAATGAAAGCATTTTTGATTCTTATTAGGATAATTTCAATGTTTATCAAAAAATCGTTATATTTAATTTTGACATTTGACAGCTTCTAACCTAACTTATTTATTTTTTAACCCAAATATATCATGTTAGGTATCAAATTAAAGCATTTTTGATTCATATTAGGATAATTTCAATGTTTATCAAAAAATCGTTATATTTAATTTTGACATTTGACAGCTTCTAACCTAACTTATTTATTTTTTAACCCAAATATATCATGTTAGGTATCAAATGAAAGCATTTTTGATTCTTATTAGGATCATTTCAATATTTATCAAAAAATCGTTATATTTAATTTTGACATTTGACAGCTTCTAACCTAACTTTTTTATTTTTGAATCCAAATATGTCATGTTTGGTATCAAATAAAAACATTTTTGATTCTTATTAAGAACAACAATCCGGGAAATTTAAAGCATTTCCATGGAAATTTACTTATACTACTTTATAATTAACTCACGACTTTAATTTGATAACCTCTATCCGTATAAATTTATTATGAATTCGAATTAATCACATCTGTTGACTCAGCAAGTTGATAAAATGAGTTGACTACCTCTGTACATACAGGGTGGTTCAAATTCGATGTCCGAATAGGCTATCTCTGAAACTATAAGAGTAAATTACATGTCATGATCTCGTTTTTCCAGAAACTGCTAATGCCAAAAACCTCAAAGCGCTATCGTCTTTTGTTTTTCCCCTAGAGGCCAAAATTGAAAATATCGTAAAACCAGCAAGTACAATTATCTTGGTTCTTATTATAGGTGGAGTATTATAAGTAAGACATTATATGGACACTTTTTTTTAGAGAATTCGATGACGTAGACCAAAAAAAAAATTCGGTTTTAGACTTTGAGATATTGTGACAATTTTATATATTAAAGGTTGTCTAAGTTCCTATGCTGCAATACTTTGATTTTAGTTTGTGGGCGAGGGGCAAGAGCAGGAGTGTTTCGTGACGTAAGCGATCACAGATTGCGCACGCAACCTCATGGCCATGTGGTGCTCCATGCATTTGTTTAATTTGAATTGCTTGGCGGTATTATTTTCCACATGTGACGTAATGCGCAGTATGGTTGCGTACGAACCTAGACAACCTTTTATATATAAACCTCACCAACATCTCACTTTGAAGTTGCAAAAATGGCAGTAAGAAGGACTACGTCATGAAATTCTCTGTAAAAAAGTGTCCATATAATGTCTTAGTTATAACACTCCACCTATAATAATAACTAAGATAATTTGTTAATAACCAAAGCACTTGTTGGTTTTATAATATTTTCAATTTTGGCCTCTAGGAGAAAAACAAAAGACGATAGCGGTGTGAAGTTTTCGGCATTAGCAGTTTCTCGAAAAACGAGATCATGACACTTTTTTTCTAACTCTGAGAGTTTCCGAGTTAGCCTATTCGGACATCGGATTTGAACCACCCTGTACCGGGTGTCCAAATTTCGATGAGTTTGCAGGTTATCTCAGTTATTATGAAAGTTGCGGCTTTCGCGAATCTGAGCTACTTTTTTATGAAACCTATAATGGCGCAAACCAAATTTTCATAGCCCTCATCGTTTTTGATATACAGGAAGTGTTTCAAAATTTACGATTTTCAGACACCCCTGTATCTCGGCTATCTAACTTAGTAAAAAAGTAAAAACTGGTTCTAATAGATTTTTTCACGTGGAATCCAATGGTGTACGCAGAATTTTTCTAGTCATCACCGTTTTTGAGTTATAAAGAGTTAAGTATTTTAGAAATTGAGTATTTGAGTTGTGTTTATAACTCAGAAACCGTGATGACTAGAAAAATTCTACGTGCACCATTGGATTCCACATGAAGAAATCTATCAGAACCAGTTTTTACTTTTTTACTAAATTTCCGAATAGCCGAGATACAAGAGGTGTCTATTTCCAACACTCCCTGTATATCAAAAACGAAGATGGCTATGAAAATTCGGTTTGCGCCATTGTATATTTCACAAAAAAAGTAGCTCAAGTTCCCGAAAGCCGTTTCTATCTTTCATAATAACTGAGATACCCTGCAAACCCATCGAAATTTGGACACCCTGTACTCATTACTGATTAATAACACAAAGAATACCACATGTCAAGCTGCTTAAAAGATATTATATGGAAGAACATTAGAATGGAAAGCATAATAAGAGTCTACAAATGGGACTCATAATAATACACACTTCCAAAACAAGACTAGACAGCTCCAAGATACAGAAAATGATGCGAACAGTCGAAATGGAAATAATAAGCATTCATGGAAAAACACTACATGACAGAGTTAGATGTGAAGAGCTATGATAACAAACAACTGAATCAAAATTCTGAAAAGAATAATGGACTTCTTAGTATCTTGTGGTTCTGCATCAAGAATTTAATTTTTGTCATAAGCAGAGATCTATGTTTTATATGTTATGAAGGAATCAGAGTGTTTTCTTCTATTATCAGTATCTAATCTTGCATTAGTAGACTTCTATCAGCAGCTTGAGTCTTCTAGCAGCAGTATCTAGACTTTTATCAGCATTGCTTAGTTTTTTGTCAGTAATTCTAGTCTTATATCAGCAGTGCTAAGACTTTTACTAACAGTATCTTATTTTCTAGGAGCTGTACCTAGTTTTCCATTAGCAATATTTATTCTTTTGCAATAAGAATTTAATTTTTGGCATAGGCAGAGATCTTTTGTTCTATATGTTATGAAGTAATCGGACTGTTTCCTTCTTTTATTAGTATCTAACTTTGCATTATTATTTTTTCATATACAAACAGTACCTAGCCCTCTATTATCAGTATATAGTCTTCTGCCAGCTGTTTCTAGACTTCTATCAGCAGCATCTGGACGTTTATTAGCAGTGTTTAGTTTTTTGTCAGTAATTCTAGTCTTGTATCAGCAGTACCAAGACTTCTGCAAGCAGTGTATTATTTTTTGGAAGCTGTACCTAGTTTTCCATTAGTAATATCTACTCCTTTGCAATAA